CGAAGGAACTATGAAAATGTGCTTTGTAACTTGAAAAAGGATACTGTATTTGCAACAATAGTATAATTATGTTATGTATAATATACATTATATTTAATAATGTTAATTGAAAAATGTAAATTTTCAAAGTTACAAGCATAAGGAAAGGCTTAAAAATTACTTTTTAAATGAAAGATTAAAGCAATAATTTTAAGCTTAATTAATGAAATTTCTACATTTTTATAACAAATTTATATTCTATAATTTTTCATTTAAATATAAATAGATTTTACAAAATTCTTTGTGAAATTAATTTATCAAAAAAATTTGCTATTACGAATAATAATAATGTCAAACAATTAACGAATAATTACATTCTCGATTACATTACATGCACCTTTAAAACATTTATGAGACTTTTATACATAATAATATTGTTTAAATAGTCACTAGAAGAATAATAAAACTGAAGAAAATTTAAAGATAGAGTAAAAAATGCTACTGATAGTAGTATAAAAGAAATAAGAAAGCAATTTGTTGTCAATAATTACTATATGAGTGATTCTCCACAAAGTGGTAACTTTTGAATATGTTAAAATTTTCTTTTTTAATTAAATTTTTTGGAAATTTTTTATTTAGATCTTTTTAATAAAGCTTGAAAATGATTATTTTATAGATATTTGAGTTTAATTCTTTCTTTAGTTTTATATACAAACAATTTAAAAATTTGTAATTTAAAGGTTAAATAATTTATTTGAAAAAGTTAATTTTCGACTGTGAATAATTATAAATAGTGTAAATAAGCAAATAATTACTTTAAACTGCTTTAATAAATAAATAAATAAATAATACAGTACCGGCCAAAATTGTCAGTCCACCCATTTTTGAAGGAATGAAAAAAATTTTTTAACATAAAATTTATGAAAACTCAAAATTTTTTTGGTTTATATTTTGAAAGACAATAAAATTTTGAAAAGAATAAGACCTCACAGAAGTTATTTGACCAAAATTTGTAGAAGATGTTCTTAAAAATCGTCATTTTCAATGTTTTACAAAAATTTGAATAACTTCTAAAATAATGAACGCTTTTTAATAATCTTAGGCTTATTTTAAAGGTCGTTTTCTACGGAATAAGCATTACTTATAGGCATTAACCTGTAATTTTTTATTTGGAATAAGCATGACGTCAAAGTTGGACAAAAAAATTAGAAAAATTTGAAATAAATTTTTTGTACTAAAAACTATTCTAGAACATATATAAAACATGATATGGTGAAGATTTTTAAAGAAAAGTTAATAAAAAAATATGTTTGAATTTCAAAAATTATTTTTCTTTTAATAATATTATTTCAAATTTTTTGAATTTTTTTGTCCAACTTTGACGTCATGCTTATTCCAAGTAAAAAATTACAGGTTAATGCCTATAAGTAATGCTTATTCCGTAGAAAATGACCTTTAAAATAAGCCAAAGATTATTAAAAAGCGTTCATTATTTTAGAAGTTATTCAAATTTTTGTAAAACATTGAAAATGACGATTATTAAGAATATCTTCTACAAATTTTGGGCAAATGACTTCTGTGAGGTCTTATTCTTTTCAAAATTTTATCCTCTTACAAAATATAAACCAAAAAAAATTTTAGTTTTCATGAATTTTACGTTAAAGAATTTTTTTCATTCCTTTAAAAATGGGTGGACTGACAATTTCGGACGGTACTGTATTTTTACTCATACCTGTTATTGAAATTACTTGTTTTGATACAGGTTAATCGAGGTTAATAATATTTATTCAAGAAAACAAAACACTTCCATTACGCGAAACGAAATTAGGAACTGGAGTTTACAGGAACTGGAGTTTACAAATCAAAGAAAAAAATTCATTGAAACCGTAAAAATTCATAAAAATAAACAATTTTTGCAGATTATTAAAGAGATTTGCTTACTCTAAATCACTATTATTTTATTTTTTTTTTATACATTTAGAATTCGGCAATTTTGTCGGGTATGGAGTTACATACCATTAAAATACGCTATAAAATAATAGTAACTTTTGTAGTTTTAAATCTAAAAATTATATTTCTTTTTGCAAATTTAACATAAATACAACTTATTAACTTAATAATATTAATGGCAAATAAAATCGCACTAAAAAAGGGAATAAAATTAATGAAAATCAATGAAATTGTAAACTCCAGTTCTAAATAAAAAAAGATTGGGGAAAATATTAAAAAAATATTTTTACACAGATTTTTTAATGGAAATTAGAAAACGACACACTAAAACTTAGTTTTTGAGATGAACTTTCGAATAGAATAAATAAAAAAACGTTTAAAATAAAGTTTGTGTAAAATAAAACATATTAAACTTCATGATTCATGTGTGGAGAAACGACAAATGTGCATTTTTTGAACATTTGCAATTGAATTACAACTTTTGTTTTAATTAAAAAAATTTTTTCGATTATGATATTACTAAAAACATATTGAAGATTAATTATGCAAAAGTTTGAAGTAGATTAGATAACAATTTTTCAAGTTATTAAATAGGAAACAGAGGGGAAGCAAAAGTGACCACTTAATGAAGAATCACCCATATAGGTATTTTTTATAAATTATTACGAATTATATTATATTATATTAAAAATAATATGAACTACACCAAATTTGTTAGAAGAGTTTAACATTGTTCGGACAATGTTAAACTGTATATTACAGAACTGCATTGCAACAGATGTTTAGACCAATTACACAACAATGTTCATACACAGTTATAGAACAAGGTTGGAACAACAGTTACAGAAAATTTGCGACATTAAAGTTATGTAACTCTTACATCACATTGTGATAGAACTGTGACATAAGCATAATACAGAACTATTCTGTAACTAACTTGTAACTATGTTCTAGAACTCTGTTACAATCAGGTTCTATCACAGATCTATAACTAGTTAGGAACAAATGTTCTATAACACTGTAACCTCACTGTTATAGAATACTTATATAACGTGTTTGCTAGGTATACTACAATAGTCAATTAGAAAGTGAATTTGATCCCCGTTCTATTACAAAAAAACGAGAGAACACGTGGGGAAGGCGGGCTTCGCCCGCCACTGTGGTGTCCTCTCCACTGGGCACTTTAAAAAAAATCTTTTTTTCGGAACACGTTGGAGGGGGTAGGGTCTACGTTGGTTACCTTCTATTACCAACTAGAAAGTCAATTTGAATCCCTTTTTATTACTTAAAAAGTAAAAAGCGAGAGTTCTGTGTTTTTTAGGAGTTAAATGCAAAAAAAACAATTTTATGGTGTCATTTATGGTTTTTACCATGAAATTTTAATTTTCACAAATTTTTTATCTGATTTTCTTAATCAGCGCCCTGAATTACATAAAAATGTTACTGACTTTCTTTAAGAATAATTCTGCTTTATTAGAATTCGTATTTTAGACAATTTTATGGTATTGAACAAAAAGGTATTGCACGAAGAAAATGTTCTTTTGTTGGGAATATTTTTTGAAATTCTGTGTTTTTTAGGAGTTAAATGCAAAAAACCACATTTTTATGGTTTTTACCATAAAATTTTAATTTTCTCAAATTTTCAATCTGATTTTCTTGATCAGCGCCCTGAATTACATAAATGTTACTGATTTTCTTTAAGAATAATTCTGTTTTATTAGAATTCGTATTTTAGAGAATTTTATGGTATTTTACGTTTTTCTCGAGAACTAATCACAATTGGACAAAAATGTATTGTACGAAAAAGATGTGTTTTGTTAAGGCCAATGTTTATAAATTAATATTTTTTAATCAAATATGGCTAATATTCTAAATCAGTCTAATACCAACAAGAATGCCAAGTTTCACTTTAATCCATCAAGCAGTTTTCCCGTGATACGCAAACAAAATTTTGCAGACACATATAAATACACAAATTTTTTATAATGCCTTTTCTGGATTCCCTATTGCTCAAAATAATAAAGTAGTAAATTATTTTAATTTAGTTCTTGTTTTAAATAGTATGGTAATATTTTGCCAACAAAGTAACTAAAATGATTATATTTTTATTGACTTAAAAACAGTGAAAAAATTCATGAATTTCTCCGAATTTAAGAAAACTTATGAAAGGATACTGAATAACATTATTTAATTGGAAGAATTGGGGAGAATATTCACGATTTTGTGTATTTTTACAAATTTTTTGTTTTATAAAACGTACAAGACGAATCTTAGCCTAAAAAATGTCAATAATTGATACTTATGCAATTGCAATGTTAATTTAAAATTAAATAAGATTTTTTTTGTGGTTCTTTAGGATCAGTAATTTGGAAAAGAAAATAAAAAAAAAAAAAAAATTAATTAATTTAAAAAAGAAACAAAAAACAAAAAACAAAACAAAAAAAAAACCAAAAAAAAAAAACATAAACAAAAACAAATTTAAGAAAAAATTAATAAATTAATAACAAATAAAATAATCTTACAATTGTCACATGCGATTCATTCATAAATATTATAAATATAAACAAATAAATATGTACATTGCAGAATTAATAAAATTTACTGATGAGGATCCAAACCAGGATCGAAACGTCTAAAGAACAAAAAATTTAGTTTCTTTTCCAAATTACTGATCCTAAAGAACCACAAAAAAAATCTTATTTAATTACAATACTTGGATCACAAAAGAGTCATACATCTTGTTAATTTAAAAACTGTTTAATGAAACTTGGAAGAAATCTTCAGAAGGATGTGTTCACAATATATTTATTTGAATTGTTAAGGAATTTTTTTAAAACAATTTAGATTTTTAGTGAAGACAATATTGAAAAAATTTCCCTGGTGACGGTAAAAGTACTCCAGAATTGTTATACAATCATAATTATCAAATACAATGATTTGCTTTATTGATTTTTAGACTTTTTTTTATTTAACAGTTTTTGTAATTGTATAAACATTTGAATAAAAATGATTAAAATATAAAAAGGAATAAGGAAAATGAGTAATTTACACTTGAAAGAAAAAGTCATCTGTATTAATTATTTATTTTTTATTTAACATCAAAAGTAATGACACTTGGGTTGGACAATGTCTCTCGTTTATTCCTTAATGTATTCGCGTGTGAAAACAGAACTTATAGATAATCATACGAAAGGAATTTTTATTTTGAAGGTATAAGATAGTAGACAAGATCAATGTGTGTTCAGGTGGATGTGTAGTGGCGTTTTTCTGTGTATTTAATATGCGTGCGTGTAACGGTGTGTAATACATGTGCTGCTAACGAAAACACAAAAACTGTAGGGACTCAAGCGTCGAGTGTGATCTTCCGTTAATTAATCGGGCAGGTCGTTCTCAGGCGAGTCCCCAGTCACGCACAATCTGCCTGTCCGTTTTCAATTATTTAAAATATTTACAATATTAATAAAACATTATTCAATTTTTCTCATAATCATTCAATAATTCTGTAACATGTGACGGTCTGTACAGGCACGAAGACCTCATTCCAATGTTTAGTTTGCAAACTCACAGTCTCAAGGCTTACTCTTTGCTAATTTTGGTTCATTTCTATCCTCGAGCATTTACATTTTTTCAAAAGACTGATTTTAAATTTGCGTCTTTTGCTCACGACTACGAGGACGCGACTCAAGAAGAAATGCTAGATAAATATTTCACCTGTACCCGTTCAGTCTGTCACATATTTTTTCTGGTCTTAGACCGAGATTTCCTCGCACCTTCTCCATTTATCATCATCTTTTTTAATTTTTTTTACTTAAACTTACTTTGTTTTTTCTTCAACAACACGAGCTAAACTAAACCATATATAATAATTACATCTAATAATATCTTATTTTAACATGTATTATATTATCATTATAATAATAATAATTATTATATTATTTAAATTATTAGCCTAAAATGAGAGGCGGCGCACGATGGCAAAGCATTTTATTTGGGCTTCTACGCCCCCCGACACGGAACACCCTGTTAACAACCGCGGATCCATCATCTTTCTCGCAAGCGTTTACAAAAATCAATGCCGAGCCTCCAAATGCTCCGAGCCTCCCTGGCAAACTTTTCTCTTCGATTAGTTGAATTATTCAACACCGAACACTGCTTAATATCATAAACTTAATTTTTAAGAATTTTTAAATATTTTGCCAATTGTAATTGCGTAATTGTAAGCAAGAAATAGAAGGTACTTTATATTTATGAAACGACAGCTATTTTGGAAAGACTATTTTAAAATACTTTTCAAGTTACAGTGTTGAGTTACCTATGCACCAAGTGTTGATTAATAAAACTTTACAGGGTCAAGGTGTTAACCTTCTCGACGAAATAATAAATTTTTGCACTCGGCGCATCCTCTGGACTCCACCAGTCTCCCACAACAGTGTGTGACGCTTATTCACTGGCGGAAAGTTCGCACAGCCCCTCGCGAGCATAACAAGAAAAAAATAATCGGAAGAGCTGAGGAGCTCACGCATTTCTTGCTGCTGGCTCGGTACTCCCTTATTTATCAAATTGATGGGGAAACTGGTAAAGGAAGAACGTGCATTTTTTAACGCGTGTATGACACCTCGAGAACATCTCGATTATATGAACACTTTAGGTAGGTTTCGGGCCTGAGTTTCCGGGCCGAGACATGAGCGTGTGATTGTGTTACATATGTACGTGATACTCGACTTGGAGACGGGCTTTTCTAATGTGCGTCGCGCAGATAACGATATTATCGAACCGGACAGAGCGACATGCAGCTTTAGAAAATCCGGTACCCAGTCAAAGAATATTTATTTTGTGTATTTTCTGTTGGCCCCGGTTGATCTCCGATCCCAAAAGTCACATGGCAGGCATTTAAGTCACTTTTGTAAAGAGCGTTATTCGAGTCGATACCGTTGGTTGAGAACAGGGCGTTCGACGTTTCGGGGTTAAGTGATTTCTCGATAGCGAGTTTTGTACACCACTGGCGTTTTACAACCTATGAAAAACTAAGAGAATGAATGTTTTTATCCTTACTGTTTTTCTTTCTTTAATTCGATCACCTACATAAGAATGTGTTTTTTACTTTCCCCCTTTCTCCGTCTACAACCATCCTGCTCCTACTGTTTCTCTCAGCTCCTATTCACGTTATACTTTATTACGATTAAATCAATAACAGTTTCCCTCCCCCCACCCAACCCAAACCCTATTTTTTAATTTTTTTCCTTTTTTGGTCGCGGTGTACTTTGGCTCTACGAATACCGCGTCGTCCGCGTAATAATTTAATTCGAAATCTCTTGTAGTTGGTATTGATTGGCTAATATTTATACTATTTAACTTGTTTTCGCTTTCTGTGTGTTTCGTCCAAGACTCAAACTACTGATTATACGCAATCTGTTCAGAGCTACTCGGAATAAGATTAAAACCGAACGATATTATTTCTTGTACAATAATGATAATAATAATAATAATAATAATGATGATAATAATAATAATAATAATAATAATAATAATAATAATAATAATAATAATAATAATAATAATAATAATAATAATTTTAATGAATACTGCGAACGCGATTTTTCATTTTTAAATATTCCATTAGTTATTTTAATAAAACTTCTTTTTCTCTCTTTAACTAGGGCGTGCCAATCTAGCGTACGGTTTTATTAGCAATTTATGGATTTGAGTGGAGATTCTTCATTTTACAAGACGAATGGAGTGTTGCTGCTGTTGTTTTCGTCTGCCTTCACTTATAGCTGAATCTAATATTCAATGAGTTTCTTAGTATATTGGATTGTTAGTTACTCCACTTCTTAGTCTCCAATAATAAGGGCTTGCCTGGTTTGATTAATGATGAGAGAGAAAGTTAAGATGAAACTTGTCAAATTTATAAGATATTCGAGCAATAATGTTTAATTTGTTTGGCGAGTTGCATCTTCATCTTATACTAAGATTTCTCCTCTACATTCTTTTTAGGCCTTTCTTAAATTCTTCCGCACACAATCGTTTATTTTTGGTGTCGTCATTCCGTCCCTCATATTACGAAGTTCGTATTGACTGAAGATTGTTGAGTCTGAGCAAGCAGAGCAGGAATGACGAGTTACTGTTTGTAACAGCGCCCTAGTCTCAACGCACGATGTCGCCCACGTAGAACACTCTTGGCGACGTCTTCGTCGTTGTTATCGGTTTGTTCGATGTGAAAAAACCTAAAGCCAAGCGAATCGGCTATAATAATGATGAATGCAGTCAAGCCTACCTCGCGACGATGATAGACCCAATAGCACGCCCTATGTAAAACGTGTAAATGTATGTATTTCTTTTTTTGTGAATGAATACTTTTTCTCATTTTGTAAATGATTTTTTATTTTTGTTTCTTTTCATGTGTTTCTGCGTGGGTATGCTTTCTCTTCTGCCGCTGCTTCTCTATTTCGTTGCGACAGGGCATCTAATAATAAGTTTCTTGTTCTAGCCAACCACCTGGATTTCGACGAATATAAAATCGCCTTGTTTCATCGTAAATGAAGATGGCCAACATGAATGGAAGTGCTGGTAACCACCAAACAAACCTGCAATCAATCATTTCATAACAGTTAGCATTTTTAGAGTTTACTTTCTTTAAATTAGTTTTCATTTATTGTCATTATAATTACATTGTTTGCCTCTAACATTTTTTGGAATAAAAGAAAGAAGAAAGAGTTGCAGTCAAACCTTTCTCTAAGAACACCAAGTTTACGCAGAGAAAAAAGAACGTTTGTTGTTGTTACAAAATTTGTTGTTACCTTAACAGATTTATTCTTATTAGAAACAATTTGAATTGCTAGGACAACAGAATGAATTTGTTAGTTCTATATTAACAATCTTTTTGTCAACGTAACAATCCTTTTTTTCTCCGTGTAGATGGTCTTACCGAGAGGCGAGCCACTTCAGGAGAAATAATTGCACATGGTTGTTCGAATTCAATTTTATTATTTATAATACTGATTAATTTTAGTTTTAAAAAATATAAACATTTTTAATCGAGTATCGATTTTCCAATTTAATATCCAGGACCACAAAGAAAGTTTTTTTTTCATCACACATGCACGTGCTTTGCAGTCAGACGTAAAGCAAAATAAAACAATAAAGTGAACGTAAGCATGTGATAGAAAAGAACAAACATATTTTCTGTCTATTTTCATCTCATGCTTGCGTCCCGTTAGCGTTTTATTCTGCTGATTCGCATTTAACACAACTGCTCTGTCGACAATTAAAGCAGTTATCTTTTTTTCTCCCCGTGCATTTGTCTTTTGTACCAAATCGAAAACTGAAATTTAGGTTCGCTTTTCGGGTCGTAACTGGAAAAATCGTGCATTTGTGATAAAAAATATTATGTAGTGTGACATGAAATACTTCCTAGTTAAAAATTGTGCAAGATCCTGAATATTTCCATGTACATAAATTATGCATTTTTATACACATGATCTTGTACGTGACCAGTTGTGGAAATTGGAACAGTATCTTAAAGGGATCCTTTAAGGTTCCTCTACAGAAACCCAGAAGAATCCTTCACGGAATCTTTTACAGTATCCTACATAGGGTCCTGCCAGGATCCGTTGCAGGGTATTGGAACGAGGGTCCCATACAGATTCCAGTGCTATCAATTCGCTAACATTAGCTATCAATGTTTCATGTAAAGGTTCCTATACAGGAACACTGGCGTGACCGTTATTTTGCGAAAGTTATAATCTCTTAGGTCGCCGGGCTGAATTTGCTTTAGAATGTGAAAAAAATGAGCCGTGCACAAGAACAGCCCAATCGATCAATATTAACCCGTGCCACCGAATGGTTAAAGTTTAAATGGGATTTAACATAAGATTAGTGCACTTTTTTACATTTTATATTATAACTTTTTTTATTAATCTTTTCTTTTGATGATATGCATATTTATTGTTTTGGGTGTGCTGAACATAAATCCGATGTCAAAAATAAGTATTTGCAGCTGCCAGCTGTCAATAAAGTTGTCAATCTTTAAAAACGACCGATTTTGTGGGATTTTGCATTAATTTACTCATATAAAAATTAAATTACTTATACACGAATGTAGTATTAAATTACTAATGTAATTTAATATGAAAGTCTTATTTTCAGAAGTTTGACAGCTTGATTGTCAGTTGTCAACTGTCCATATTACATATTTCTATTTAAGTTTATCTCAGTGTTCTTAAAATAACTTTATATTAGTATATGAGTAATTTAATGTAAAAATTGTCAAAAACTCTTGTTTTTAAAATCTTGACAGCTGTCAACTGTCAATATAACATATTGCTACTTGAATTGTCTTTAGTGTTCTTAAAATACTTTTACATGAGTAAATTAATGTAAAATCTAAAATCCCACAAAAACTGTCGTTTTTAATAGAAAATAATGCCATGCGCGCATGACATGTTTTGCGTGTCATACATTTTTGTAAGGGGCCTATAAAAATCCGAATTAAAAAATTTCAAAACTTTTCTAAATAAAATTTCATAAATTTACAGTAATGTTTATAAGATAGAAATGTGAATAGAATCATAAAAAATTTAGAAACCTTTAAGAATTTTAGAATATTTTCATGTTTTCCATTACATCAAGAAACTTTTAGAAATTCTATTACTTTTTCTGGATTTACTGATTTTATAGGAACCCTGTGATTTAATTTGTGGAAAATATATTATAAATGAATATCTTACTTGAGAGGAAACATGCGAAGACCCTTGTCCATTCCAGGTGTGTAACTCAGGAAAGCAGCAAGTGCTGTTTCAAAGATTAATCCAAAGTTAAGGGCCCAATTTCTCATTCCTTGATGGAAGAGGGAATTCCGTCTTGTTTTGCAGACAATCAAGTCAGCCCATTGCACTATGACAATCGACACGAAGAATGCCGTATGGCAGGTGAATTCCAACGTCTTACGATCTCTATATGTCTGCAGAAAGAGTTTCATTATTTTCTGATCAAGGTGCATTACTTGATAGTTATAGAAGTTAATCAATCTTTTACGTCCGAGAAATAGTAATTATAGTAAGGAGAATGAAACGAAAACAATTACGACTCAATTAATGAAATCCACTAATTTCTTTATAAAAAAGAGTGTTTAATAAACTGAACAAACTCAGAAATAATGGTTATCTCAATGAAAATATAAGTAGGAAAGATATTATTACTTCTAATACTAATATTGCAAGATTTTATGGTCTACCAAAAATCCATAAAGTAAATTGTCCACTCAGACCAGTTGATGGTATTATTACTAATTGGTACAGAAAAGATACATATTCACGTAGACTTTTGAACTATTATTCCAACCATCCTTTACAACATAAAATTGCAATTATTAAAAATTTAGTTGATATACAGCATTAAAACTTTCTAATAAAACTTTTCATAATGAAAATATTAATTTAATTAAATTAGATTTAAAGCTAAGCAATTATCCTGATAAATTTATAAATCAACATTTACAAAAACGGATTTCAGAAATTAACAATAGAAACCTCTTAAATAATAACCAAATTAGTGATATTAAAGATAATTATAAAAATAATAATGATAAAAAGATAGTTTTTCCATATTATGGATCAATTTCAGAAAACATAAAAAGATTACTGAAAGCATTTAATATTCAAACCATTTTTAGTCTTAATTCAAAACTAGATAGTTTTATTAAACTAGGGAAGGATAAACTTGAGAGACATAATCAATGCAACTGTGTATATAAATTTAAATGTAATTGTGGGAAATCTTATATAGGACAAACAAAAAGACCATTACATATTCGCACTAAGGAACATAAGAGTAATATTGATTTAAATGTAAAATATCATAATGTTATTAGTAATCACTTGACGAATTTCAAAAATGATTCTATTCCACATTTTATAAAATGGGATGAATTTGAAGTGCTAGATATTGAACCTACTCTTGGTAAAAGACTTTTTTCAGAAATGTTTTTTATAAAAAAGGAGGGAAGTAATAGTTTAAATAAAGTAACTGATTTGGATAATTTTGATAGTTCATACGAAATGATTTTAAATTATTTCCATTAATTAATTCTGTTGATTGCTCATTTGCCTACTCTTTGTTTCTTATTTGTTTTTGTCTTTATTTAACAATTGATGTACAGAATCGATAGTGTTTGGAGTTCAGTTTTAATTTTGACTTCACACGCAGAGTTTTAATTTATTTAAGTATTTTTTTTTTAAATTTCTAAGATCTGTTATTATAAATGTGTGTCATCATAATGTCCATGTATTAGTGTTAATTTATTTATTTAACTTGATGTTAATGTTTATTTATTTATTTATTACAAAATTGATTTTATAATCTTTTATCTAGGTATGTTATTCTCAACTTAATTTTTTTATTTTATTTATTATTTTAATTAAGTAGCTATTATAAATTTTTTTTTATTTATTTATTTAGGTATTAATTTATTTTATTTTTTATTTAAAATTAATATTTTTATTTTCTTTTTATTTTACTTTATTTGTTCTAAATTCTTTATTATAATTTCGATTCTTATTTATTTTAGTTATGACTCCAAACTCTATGAATTCTCTGACGTTTAATGGGTGAATTTATTTTTATTTTTTGCTGACGAATGTCTATTTATTAATTTTTATTTTTGGTAAGATATTTTTATAACATTTTTATAACCTTTTTATTATTTATGAATGAATGTTAGATTAATTTATTATTATTTCTTTTTTTATAAATTTATATATTTTTTAAATTTTATAATTTTCTGTTTGACGAATAAGTATATATTTTTTATAATTTTTTGATTGACGAATGCTAAGTATATTTTTTATAATTTTTTATTTTTATTTTTTTTAATTTTTTTTTTTTTGATTGACGAATGTTAAGTATATAATTTTTGTTATATTATTTTATTTATTTTTTATATATTATTTTTATATTTTGTTGTATATTGTTTATTTTTGTATATTGTTTTATATTTTTTGTATATTATTTTATATTTTTATAGACTCCCTGAAGAGGAAATCATTTAGATTTTGAAACGTTGGAGTAAACTAATTTTTAAAAACTATTTGTCCGAATGTTTTCGTTTCATTCTCCTTTACTATAGTTATAGAAGTGTATTTGTCAGTTTCGATTATTTAACCAGGGTGTCTACAACTAGTCTAAAAAAAATTTTCCTGACATTTCCAGGCCTTCTAAAATGTTTTTTTCCAGGTTTTAAGAATCGACATAATAAGGGGTTACAAAAAATACATTGCTTAAATTTTATTTGATTACACTTATAAAAGACGTAGGAGAAGTATTCATAACGTTTGTCATCAACGATTTGAAGAAAAAACTGTTTTTCACTCAGAAAACAATATTTTACGTTTACAAAATTTTCCTTCTTTAACTTTTTGTTCAAGAAACATTGTAAAAGTTTTGTTAAGACAAAAGTTTGAATAGAAGATTATTTTTTCCTTTAATCATTATAAACGTCACCAACGTGATAAATTATGAATATAAAATGAAATTTTTTTAAAAAATTATCAGGGCTCGAACCAGTGAAAGTATTTAAAAATACGGACTTTCCGGACCAAAAATGAAAAATTACGGACCATTTACGAACAAAAATATAAGCTGTCCAAATGAAATAAGAAAACAGTTTACTTCAAATTATAAATTAAATTTTTCATAACTATAAAACATGAAGATATCGATAACTCCGAGTTTCCACTCGGAGTGATCGATTTCTTCATGTTTTATAATAATTAAAGATAACACATAAAACACATAAAAAATAATTAAACTTTTTAAAATTTGCATTAGTTCGTATTATATGAGTTTTCGTTTATCCGAGGCACCACTTTCCCGCACATTACCTCGGATAATCGAGGTTCTACTGTATTCGTGAATTCTTTAATTAAATATATATTAGAAAATAAAAACTTCAAATAATATAAAAAAATTCAATTAACATATTTCAAAAAAATAATTTCAAAATTCAATTATTTATAAAAATTCACGCTATATTGCTTTTAATATTCAATTAAAATCTAAAATTTTAACTGAAATTAATTTTTAAATAAATTTTTATTAGAATTTAATTATTTAAATACAAAAATAAATAATTTATTGAATTATTGAATGTTTCTTAAAATTTAATTCTCATAAAGAATTTTTTACCAACAAATTTTTAAATTGATAAAGAATATTAATAAAATTTTTAAGAATAATTACATTTCTCGATGAACTCGATTAAAATTGTATTAAAAATAATTGAAATTCTTTGATGATTTTTATTATTTATAAAAATAATTGAATTCCTAAAAAGAATTTTATTATTTACAAAAATAATTAAGGGACTGGATGCTATAAGAGCATCTTAACATGCAATGTTAAGTGAATTGCGCGTATTCCCTTATAGTATCCAGCCTCTCAATTGAATCCCAGTAAAAATTTTATTATTTATGAAAATAAAAAAATTGAATTATTGCGAAGAAATTTATAACAAAAATTTGTAAAGAATTGAATTCCTGTGAAATGTTTATTATTTTATGAAAATAATTTAAAAATTTTAAATAGATTCTTTTGTAAAAATTTTTATTAAAATTACGAGCAATTGTCTATCTTAAATGAAAATTTATAGTTACAATTTTATGTACTGGCCGATGTTTAATTTATAGAATCTAGATATTACTCATATGTATTATATTATGTAAAGGGTACTTTTCACCCGTTTATCTATCAAATAAAACAAATAAATAAATAAAATAGTAGATATTAAAAAACATTGAAATGAGGAACATTTTTGAAAATAATTGAAATTTTTCCAAGAATTTTATTAAAATTTTTGAAAATAATAGAATTTTGGAAAAGAATTTTTTAATTTATAAAGATAATTAAAATTTTTACCAGAATTTAAAAAAACTTTTGAATATAATTGAATTTCGGCGAAGAATTTTATTACTTTTAAAAATAATTGAATTTCTGCAATCATTTATAATTTCTCTAAAATTTCCCAAATTATATCGTACAATTTACAAACTTTTCGTCCTTTTTCAATCAAATTACAGACTTTAAGGACCTTTTTTTAAAAAAAACTGACTTTTACGGACTTTACGGGATTAACGGACCAAGTTCGAGCCCTGAATTATGTATTTTAAAAACAAATTGACTTATTTTACGAAAAGAATTTTTTCAATGCCATTATTTCTGCTTCTCTTCTATGATCTTTCAGAATTTTAAGTGGTCAATCTTTTTCTATTTGATTATATGTATGCCTGTGGTTCATATTATTTCTCAAAATAGAATAGAATTGCAAATTAGAAAGGCAATATTAATTATTACTATTAATTTTTTACTAAAAATTTGTAAAACTAATTGTGGGCATTAAAAATATTGTTCAAGAGTATTTCAAGTCATGATGAAAAAAATTCCGACATTTCCCGGTTTTCCAGGTGTTGTAGGCACCCTGTTAGCGTAATTTATTTGTTTATTGTCTAAACCGAATAAACACAAATATGTAACATTTATGGAACAATTCTATGCAAATGTCAGCTTATAGATGTAACCTGTTACAGTAACAGGCATAAGCTTACATTTTTATGCGTATGTTTTTGTGTTTACTGGGCATATATTGTATTATTCTAACAACAACAACAAACTTGAAACGGGATTTGATCGAACTGCCATTTTTATGAACTGTCAATTAATCGAACAGTATTTTTAGCGAAATGACATTTTACCGAATTGTCATTTGTTCGAACCGAACATTATTATTTTAATATGCCATCCTCTCACATATTATGTTTTCGAAAAGGAACTTTTGCGAAAATTGCTTCATTAAATTTATTATTATTATGCAAACAAGTTTACTGTAACATTTTTCGCAATCGTGACAATTCGCATAAAATTAAAATTCGCAACAATTAATGATAATGCAAAGTTCATCTTTTTATTCTGCGAATAGGATGGAACATAGTATATCCGAACGGATTTTTTGTGCTGAACACGAATTCGAGGTCGAAAACTTCCCATTACGTCACGTTTTCGAAAAAAAGTGTTTTATTGATCAACTATTGAGGGGCTGATAGTAAAAGTGGTATAAAGTCACAATAACTAATGTTATGCAAAATATTGATTATAATAAAATAAGTCTTTCTTTACTTACTATTTAAAGATTTTTGATCAGTAATTATAATTAATTTATCTATAAATTATACAATCATTTTAACCCGTTTTTGATCCCAAGTCATACTTATCCCACCTTTGCTCCCTATGTTATTTTATACCACTTTTACTATCAGCCCCTCTATTATAAATATATATAAATCATTAATATTTTTGGTGAAAATCTTCAAATTAAAATGAAGGAAACTTAATTGTTTTTTATTTATTAGTGACAAATCAGAATATTACCATAAAAATGTCAATGGTGGTAAAATTGAGAAAAATACAATAATTCTTTTTAGAGTTATATAAAAGTTTAAAAAATGAAATGATGAACTCTTTTACCTAGTTATTTCATTTTTTAGTCTTTAAATAAAATGAATTTCATAAGAACGGACGAGACAATATTCATTTCTATTAAGTATTTTCACTAGGAATTGGTACAATAAGTTGAATTGAAATATACTGACCCATTCCTGTCCATAGCTGTCCGTCAAATCATTTATAGCTTTAGAATCCCACATTTTCCGGATACCGAAAAGACGCGTAGGCAGAAATCCGTTCTCAGCCATAATTACAAAGTAGACAAAGAAACCCGCTGCTGCCTGTATCATACCAATCTGTCCGTACGCCATGGAAATAAGCCTAAGAAATACGAAAATTTTAATGAAAATCATTGTCAGTTGACAACTTCTTACTGCTTATTACTTACTCAGTATGGTAGTAAATCTACATCGATAAAAATTGTTTGCAAAGGGATTCTCAATTTAAATTCATAATATTATACAATTTTTAATATTGAGAATCCCTATGATTTTAAAGAATGTTTACTTATAGAAAGAATATAGAAAAAGCTTTGCCTCTAATCGTCTAGTTTATTGATACACTAAGAGCTTAAGGTGTGTTTAAGTTTAGAAGCCAAGGTGACTTAGTTCAGTCATTTACTTACCAATCGACGTATGTACTTACGGTCGGAATGGTACACACTTTTCATCTAATGAGCATGCCATACTGACAGCTATTATGTCATGCCTAAACTCGCTATTTATTTCAGCACTATTATTAAAAAAAACAACTAACTTTTCAGCAATATTATATGTTTTTAAAAATCAATTTTTCATTTTCACAAAGAAGAGTACATAATAATGTTGAAAAGTAATTGTTGTAATAATAGCAGATGTCAATTTTTTTAACAATTAACGAGATCTGACATATGATTCTACAACAATTGTAATCTTTTTTTATCATAATACTTTAAATGTGAAACTTCAGTTAACATTAGAAATCTGCAAACATAAGTTTTATTACTTTTTCAAAAAGAGTACAAATCTTGAAGAATTGAGTATATTATAGTGTTAATTATTTTGAATAAAGTACTTTTTATACTATTAATGTGCGTATTAGTAAAAAATTATTATGATCTTTCATGTACATTTAGTGAGATTAATTTTTTTCTAATTTTAGCAGTGTCATTTTAGTTGTTTTAGTTTTAAAAGACGAAAAACCATTGTAGGTTATGAAGTGTATTAAAAATATTCGATTTCTAATTGTATCAAATTTTGATAGAATAAAACCCTTCATGCGTTTAATAAATGTTTAGTGATTAAATTTGCTGTTAGTTAAATAGTGACAGATTAGATCAGCTGCACACATATAGACTGATTATTTAAGATGAATAAATATGATGAGTGAAGGTTTGAGAAAAAAGAGAGGAAGAAAAAAGGAAGAGTAAAAGGAGAAACATTAAAAACGTTTTATAGTATGACAAAAGAATATTCGACTGTAAAAAAAATATAAAAATTCTCTGTATATATGTTCACTTAAATGTTCCTAAAAAATAAAAGTGCTTTAAAAATCTTTCCTGTTTATTATTTAGAGAATGAAACTAATTGCAAATAGAACTGCAAATGCTTTACATGCTTTTTTGCGCAAGCAGAAAGCTAATATGTTTGTATGTTTAGATTTCTTAAAAACAAATTGTGAGTGAGTCAAAAGTAAATGCATGATTATTTTAATTGTAAAGTTCAGGTGCACATAAATCTAGTCACATAAACTAGATGGGATTTTTGAAGAAATTCTAAAAAGCATTCCTCATTCTTCGTATATCTAAAATCCTAAAACAGTAACTTTCTGCAGGCGAATCACTAAAAACCTTAGAACATTTGTCACTGATGTATTCAAATGGTGATCTACAATGTTTTGTACATGTGAAATATGTGAACAAAGCGCACGCATGTCATTTAGAACTTTTCATATTTCATATCCACCAATTTTTTGAATTTAAAATTTTCAAGTCTCTTTCGGAATATTAATCTTTAATAATAATTAATGTATATTAACCCTCTGCATACGCTGACTTATTCCCACTCTAGCGCTTTTGAATATAATTCTCATAGAGCTCATCATGTCGTTTTTTGTCGACTAACGGTCATTAGAGTAGGCAGAGGGTTAATTTTTTTATTATACAAAATAAATCCAACATCATTTAAAAGTAAAAAAAATAATTTTAAAAAACTTTATAATCTCTTTTTAGTATATATCTACACGGAAAAATATAGGCAGTGCATAACACTAAGCATCCACGTAACCCGTAAGTTTTCAGGGAACTTGGAGTGCAAGATTTCTGCAGATAGCAAACTGTGAATTTTGGGGACATTTTACCACTTGCAGCTAGCTTTGCGATGCACACTTTCTCAAAGTTTCCTGTAAGCTTTTTGGGATCGTGCATATACATATATATAATATGCAATCATCTAATTTTTCAAGTTAATTTTGTGGACATAATGTAAACATTTTAAAATTCTATAATGTAGTACAGAGTTCAGATAAATCCAATGCATTCTATTTCATAAACGTGCTTGGCTTGAAAAATTCTTAATTTGATTGTGAACAACTTAACAAGTGTGACAATGAACGTGGGTAAAAAAATAAAGCCTTGTCAGTTAGTTGCGCACAACTATGTTAAACGCTTTCAGACAGAAGTGTAGGAATATTCGTATCATTCTGAATAAAAATCCAGAGACGAAAATTAGTCAAGAAAAGTAATAAAATATTCAAGAATCTAGACCTTATCCACATTTATAGTCGCCCTTACTCTTCTGCCTAGTTTACGTTCCATTTTTTCTTTTCTAAAGCATTTAATCTTCCTTAACCAATTTTCTAGCTTTAAAAGATTAAAATCGAATTTCAATAATTTATAAGAAATATATTTACGCGCCATAAAATTACAGACTACATTTAGGAATGATTTTACTTGATTAAATAATTATTCTTAATTACCTTAAGTCAAAAACTTTTCAAAACATAAACTGTAATTTATTTTTGCCACGTAAGATCCCTTTCAACGAAAAGCGTGAAATTTATTTAAAATTGAAAAAAATTGGTTAAAAGAATGGGGCGCTTTAGAAAGATCGGTTGCACCGTAAAGTGTGAATCAAATGAGGCGTTTGGTTAAATCTAACATGAAGTGCAGGATATTTAAGTGATTTCGATGGGCAGTCGAGAGACCCACCTTCGGTTTACGAGATTATCTCTGTAAGGATCGCGTGGCTGACGTTTCATAATGTCCGACTCCGGTGCCTCGTAGGCCAGTGAGATGGCCGGTACCTACCATCCATCGTTAATTAGAAAGCGTTTAAAACAACCCCTTTTGCATTGGCAAGTGAGATGGATCATTACAATAATAATAATAATAATAATAGTAGTAGTAGTAATAATAATAATAATAATAATAATAATAGTATTAAATATTAAATGCATGAGAAGAAAAAAAGCCAAAAGCAGACTCAAAGAAGGAATTAACACAGGATCCGTATGTACTTCCATAAAACCTGCTGGATAAAAATTGTATGTCAGTCAGGACCTGACTTTCAAATACCACCTTGCAAATTGTCATTCTTTAACTATTATTGTTGTATTAAATTTTAAAACATTACTCGAATAATTTATAATTTTAAACTATAACTATTTCTCTCTTCAAAATTAGAAATAATATTTTTATTATTTTTTTTTTAGTTACTATTTAATTATCATTTATCTCTGAAACATTTTTCAAGTAAAATCAAACTAAGTTGTAAACTAATTGACATTTTCGATTATTAAAAGACAAACAAGAACTGAACAATAATGAAGACAAAGAAAGTTATTGATGTCATTCTAAAGCAATTGATCAGTGATGAGAAATCAATATTAATTGTTTTAAGTTTTATTTTTCTTCTATTGCATGTTTTAAAAATCATGAAACATTTTTAATTCAATGTCTCATCACCAATTATTATGTGGAAAAGTTGTTCGAAATTAAAAAAATGTTATTTTTCTTCAAGTTGATTTTAAATTGTGCATTACTTTTCCACGCGATGAAGGGCAAGGCATAAAAGTTGGAAAAGGCATTACAGAGTCCCTAAAACTCCCATCGCCAATAGAAGATAGCATCAGTGTCGTTAGGTGTTGTAAATTGCGCATAAAGCTTCTTATTAAATCTTTCCACCTCTAAAATTTTGCAACCGCCATCATGTTATAAACACAGCGTCAGTAGGCGGCATACTATAGAATAAAACGCGAGAAAACTGAAAAGAAAAATTGCAGGAATCACTGCAACTTGATGTGAGCGAATATAATAGTGACAATTTTAATTATCATATCAGATAATAGATAATAGAAACAGATGTTGCAACCGCAATAATTTGTTATAAATATATTATATAGGTAGTAAACTAAAAAAAATAGTGACTGTTTAGTAGCAATTGAATATATTACGAAAAACGTTCTAGAATCTTCCTTCCATTCAATAAAAATAAAATTAACAGATAGACAAGAATTATAAAATTGGCCTATAATTATTGACCATGAAATGCTTGGATTTAAGAACGTTCTTCATTTTAAATTAAGTTAAACATTGTTTGTACTTGTCTAGTTTACTAATTCTAGCTCTATTCCTCTACTAGGTAACTGTGACGCGATATCAATTAATTTTATTAATCATTTTATAATAAATCGGTGTATCTTTTTCTACATCTACGCACAGCAAGGTACTTGAAAAAGAAATTTAAGAGACTACCAAATCAAAGTAACATTACATTTATAATTCACAACATTGACGACGACTGGTCCCACCGAACCTGAAAAATTTTCAGTTTTTTGACTTAATAGCCACAGTGATTACATTTAAAGAATCAGGGCGGTAGAGACTTGTCGCTTGTAGAAAAAAGCTTCCGTTTATGAATGAGGAGATACAACGATGACAAAGTTGGCAGGCGGCAGAGGCAATTAGGTCTAGTGGAGAAAGATTACATTTCAAAAGAGTAGGTGAAAAAGAAAAAAAAAATATATATATATACATATAAACCAATAATAGTCAACTAAAGAAATTAAAAGATTGTCTGATGGAGAATTTATAAACTTTTAAAATAAAAATACTATAAACAGGGTGGCCACTAAATTTTGAAAATAAAATTCAAGGCTTTTTCACGACTTTTTCCAAGGTTCTTTAAATTAAGATTTTATTAGAAAAAACAATTTTGAAGGCAATATTGACAAATAATCTTTTCATGACGCACCGTCTAAAAGTTGTATAAAAATAAAAAATTGAGAATTAATTAAAAAAGTGTGAGTCATCATAAACTATTAGATTTATTAAATTTTCGAGAAAATACTATTTAATAAATTAATTTTATGTTATCTCTTATGTTATCAAAATTTCGACTTGAAACTGTTTAGTTCAAAATTTGTCTTAAAAGACTATTATTTTGAATAAACTATAATAATTAAAAAACACATAGTTTAAAAAAAATACTGACATTACAGAAAAATTATGTTGAAGAATTTTTTTTAAATAATAAATTTTAAAAGGTGCTTTTACAAATTCTCGATGAAATGTAATTTATAAAAATAATGAATTAAAAAAATTCAGGTAAATTTACGGTTTTTTCAAAGCATAACGAAGTTCTCGTTTTTTACCCGGTTTTCAAGGTTTCAAGGTTCGGTAGCCACCCAGATAATTATTTAAGCATAATAAAAGTCTTTAAAATCAAGTTACTACAACTATACATTTACTTATAGGTTACAGATTAAACTATTTTATTCCATGTAACAGGATGAAATTAAACGAGTGTTTTTTATATTTATCGACAATTTTTAAAATATTTTTTATAGAATCCTCCTAAATGAAGAATCGCTTTACTTCCAACCTCCGATAGAATGACGCACAAACGTTAAATTATTTAACAGCGAGGCATTTAAAAGACATCCTAAAGACGACTTTTTTTCTCCGCTGATGTCCTAAGACATAGATATTATAATGTACCGGAAATACATATGTAAACAACTTATAAAAAATTGTTATAAAACATGAAGAAATCGATCACTCCGAGTCGAAGACTCGAAGCAATCAATATCTTCATGTTCACAATATCAATATCTATAATCAATATCTTCATGTTCATAATTAAAATTGACCGACTGATAAAATCATAATTTTTTATTATAAGAATATTGTTACTGTAACTTATTCAAAATTACTTTCATCACTTCAATTTAATTATTGTATTCCAGAATTTTTAACTAAGATTCTTCTTTAAATTTATTATTTTTCATAATTTTTGAAAAATTTCTTTGAAAATTTTCAAATCCCTTTGATTACAATTCAAGTTTACGAAATTTCATCGAATATTAGAAATTCTTTAATCAAATATTCAAAATTCAATTGTGACGCGACCCAAAGAAAGGTACCTAAGAAGCAAACGAATTATAGGTTGGGTTCGAGTTAGATTTATCTTGATTAAAAGTTCATTTTTAATTATTTGAATTTTAAACCAATATTAATTGAATATTTTGAATATAATGAAAACTTAAAAACCAACAATTTTTAATTAATAATTGATTCTCTTTCTGTATTTTTACTCAAAAAATTTAAAACATAACCTCAAATTTTTTCCTTCTTAGGTACCTTTCTTGGGAACGCGTCACAATTATTTCTAAAAATTGAGCTATAATATATACTTTCTCTCTAAATTTGAATCAGTAAAAATGTTTACAAATTTATTGGAATTAGTCACTGACTTTTTGCTTTTGAATTAGTAAATTTTACTATTAAATTAGTAGAAACGACTATTTATTAGTAAAATCTGCTAATTCAAAAGCAAAAAGTCAGTCACTAATTCAAATTAGAAAACATTTTTACCAATTCAAATTTAGAGAGTTTAATATTCAATTATTATCTAAAATTTTAACTGGAATTCATATTTAAATCCATTTTTATTAGAAAATTTTACGAGAATTCAATTATTTAAATACAAAAATAAATAATTTATTGAAGAATTGAATGTTTTTTAAAATTGAACTCTCATAAAGAATTTTATCAACAAATTTTTAAATTGATAATTAAAAATCTTTTGACGAATAATTTTAATTTTCGAGATATTAGATTAAAATTGTATTAAAAATAATTGAGTCTTTGTAAAAATTTGATTGAATTGAGAAAAGTTTTTGAAAATAATTAAAATTTTGCCAAGAATTTTATTAAAATTTTTGAAAATAATTAAATTTTGGAGAAAATTTTTATTATTTATAAAGATAATTGAAATTTTGGAGAGAATTTTTTTAAACTTTCGACCATAATTGAATTTCTACGAAGATTTTTATTACTTTTGAAAATAATTGAATTCTTGAGACGAAGTTTTTTTAAAATTTTTTTTAAACAATTGAATTCTTTTGTGAAATTTGATTAAAATAGTAAATATTGAAAATAATTCAATTTTGATAAATTATTGAAATTAATTAAATTTCTACCTACGTAGAATTTTATTAAAATTATTTTGAAAAAAAATTGAATTGTTAAAAAGAATTTCATTAAAATTTTTGAAAATAATTTAATTCTTTCAAGAAATTGAATTTCTTTGATGAATTTTAATAAAATTTTTAAGAATAATTACATTTTTCGAGAAATTTGTATTAAAAATAATTGAAACTTTGCGATGAGTTTTATTATTTATGAAAATAGTTGAATCTCTTTAAAAAAATTGATTATTTATGGAAAATAATTGAATTATTGCATAGAAATTTAAAAAGATTTTGTAAATAATAGAATTCCATTCAAAATTGAAATTTTACAAAATTTCAAATTACAACCTTTTGAAGTGATAGCGTGTGATTTATGATTTCGGAAATGTTCGTTAGTGTGTGTGTGTGAGTGCGACGGTTTTTGGGCGAAAAGTCCCCGCGAAGGGCATTGCGATTTAGATCGAGTAACGAGAAACACGTATAGGCCGAGAGAGTCAATTAAGTGCGATTAATTCTAATGTTTATAAATTTTAATTTAATTCATTTCTTAAATAAAGATTATTCTTTTAATTAACTAAGAGTGTCTTAACGAAAATAATTACCAGTTATTTTCTATAAACCTAACTTTACGAGGATTCGCAATCCTTTTCCATGGTCAAGTGAACTAACTATTTAAAATACGTGATTTCTAACAGAAGTTTATCTATTTATGAAAATTTTAAACGCAACTCTTTTAAAATTTAATTAATTTTGAAATATTTAAGTAAAATTAGATTTCAAGAATAAGCACAATTAGAAAACAATAATTTTCCATGATTCCGATCAAAATT